TGTTACTAAAAGGCACTCGGAGAAAGAACTGAAAGACGTTTCTATTAAAACTTTTATGTGTTAGCTATATCAGACTCTTTTACTAAATATTTGGTAGTTAAAGCGGTCCGAGACATGAAAACATCGCATGTAGTCCAGTTTATACTTTCTTGTAAAATGCTATTCTTCAAGTACTCGTGAGTTTTTCGTGCTGAATATATGGTAAAATAAAGACGTGCTGAATGCATTTTTGACAGTTGTCAGTGAAGAAATTTGTATTTATACTAAATAAACTCAGTTATTGAATATATATAAGTTAACAAAATTGGACACATTATAATAATTATAATAGAATTTTATAATATTTATTTTATTAAGAATTTTTATTTTATATTTTTATTATTTTTTGACAGTTCTTATAACATAAGTTTCGAAAGTTTACTATTTTCAAAAGATTCAATATTGATATTTGAGAACAAACTTCAACTCCTTTTGCTTGCTTTTTTAAATTTTTTCATTTTTAAAATCTAAACTATATTGTTCAGCTTGTTCTAATCGCGAAAGCGAAATCGTAGAGTTACAATAGCATAGCTTATTTGTAAAAAGCACTAAAAATGCGCTTTTCATATAGTAAGTAAACAATATGCATAACAAATGTCTTTGCAAAAAGCATTGAAAAATAGCTTTGAAAAATGAAAATAGGCAACTTCAAAAGATAACTTTCAATTCGTTGAATTTGTGTTTCCAAATAAAGCTGTTGTTTATAGTTACTAATTAAATAAAAAGCAGTCAAAAAAAACCTGGAGCATGACCACGGAAAGTTTGTGCAGCCTTGGCTACTTGTGGAAAAACACGATTAGTCATCGCTTGTAATTTGACAGGCACGAGTTCAAAGCCTGGCACTTGCAATCCAAACAAATTATATACGGACAATAAACTAATTAATAAAAGAAATTCGAACATTAACTAAATTTTTGTGTTTGTCCTTTCCTTCTTTACTATTCGAAACCCTTTATAGAATCCTATAAAAACATAATAACACAAAATTAAATTTAGTTTTGTCCAAAATGTTTTTTAAAAACCCACGGTCAAATTTACAATGAATAAAATTTGACAAAAGTCTACACTTTTCATTCACTATTCACAGTTGAGGAATAGCAAAATCAAAATTTAAGCAAATTTTTGGTGAACACTTTAGTTTGCACATTTGAGGAATACACCTCAGGACTTACACGATTGGGCTACTTATTAAGAGTGACTATCGCAAATTGTAACGGATAGGGGTACCGCCTTTATCTCTAAAGCTTTTAAAGCATATTGCGATGACAAAGAAATCTAACACATCAACACAACATCAACAACTGTGCGCACACCACACTCCAACGAGTAAGTGGAACGTGCAAATCAATTGATCCTAAACTACTTTTGCACATCGAGCAAGGATCATAAAACGTGGGACATAACACTACGAAACCTACAATTTTCAATAAACGCAAAAGAATGCGACATTTAGGTTCAACCCGAATCGAATATTCGATTCGATTTTAGAAACATCGTCTACAATCAACTTATAGCCGCTGTAAACGATGATGCAAATGACGGCGAAAAACTAATAACAACTGCTGAAAAACGACTTCAGACTGCGGAGAACATTGGTCGTGAGCGTTTCAATTGGAAAACGCGTTTCGACAACAAGCACGGTAAACTTAAATAGTGGTCCGAAGGCAACTAAGTTGTGATCGAGTCCCAACTTCCCGCAATAGGTGAACCACAATAACTCGAACCGAAATATCGTGGGGCTAATTAAATTTCAAGTCTTGTGTCATAACCGATACCTCAGAAGACATACCAAGAATGCAGATAACATCACGAAAATTCTGCTCAGTGTTCGTAACTGACAAAATTAAACCATGTTGTTACAGCTCTCCTGAACTGGATAAAGACGATGACTCGCAAATCAATGACAATTTACCGTCAGGATTGACAGAGTTGTCAAGTACGAACTAGCTGGCAATACTACGATACAATAAATACGATACCACACGGCATTGCTCATGTGTTTCTCCTCAAGTGCAAATATGAATTTTATCCCTACTGATTTATGGTTCCGCTCTATTGAGTTAGCAAGATTCCTACCTGTAACCTCATCGTCACCTCTGTCCTTCTTCATATTACTTCATCCATCTCATTGTTTTGTCAACCTTCTATTTATTTATTTTTAAGTGGATTTTGCCTATAACAAAATTATTCACTTTTATGTCTATGCAATGCAAAAAGTATAAGTTTTTGAAAAATAATTATATTTAATACATTTAGTAACGGTATAAAATATATCAATAAAATTAGTTCTTAAATTACAATTAATTCATATTTCTAAAAAGTTTATAATATATCTTAAAATATAAATAGAAGAATTATACGCCATCAAAAATGTATATAATTAACAATATAAGTATATATTTAACATACAGTATATATACGGATAGATATAACTTTATTAACGCAAAACAAAGTTTTATTACGTTATTTTATATTATGCAAATAAAGAGCATTATCCATTTAAAACTTATTTACAATTAAACAAACTTATAGTAAGAAAATAAAAAGAAATTATAATAAAAAAATTCTTTCTCAAAGAAAATTAAATATAATATACTACAAATACGTCTCACATTTATTTATCTACTGTGCTTCTCTTTCAGGTGTTATATTAGTAGTGGCAGTAGTTGCTGATGCAGATGTATTTGCAGCAGCTGCTGCAGCAACAATTTTAAGCGCCGGTCCCAATTTCATTCCCATTGCATTAACTAAATGATTCTCCTTTAATAATAATAATGCTTGCCCATCAATTTCTTGTTGTTCAAAGTCATCAACATAATCACTGCAGCCAGGTAAATTTTTAATAAATTCACAAACATCAGAAACAGTCCAATTAATCATTTGTGGCGTATCTATGCCGTTAACAGAAGCACTAGTCACATCGTTTGGCTGTAACAAATTTTGAGTAGTTGTTGTTATATTAGATGCCTGGCTATTGCTATTGTTAAGATTTTGTACTGCTGTTGCAGCAACTGATACTTCAATTTGCATTTTGTCGTCACCTATTGCAACGCGGTTGCTTGCAGTTACTGTTTCCAATTTATTATTTAATTCTTTTGTATTTGTTTGTCCATTAGCGCTATCTATAATTAGTTCATTTACTTGCTCACCTACAGATACTTTGGCTTGGCGCACACAAGCTGGAGAGCAATATCGTTTTTTTTTTTAGTTTAGATTTATGTTCAGGTTTTCCACACTGCTCACAAGTTATCATCTCATTAGGAATTACGTTATTGGATATGGTTTCCTCCAGAGCAGTTTTTTTTTCTGTAAAAAATTTTTAGTTTGATTATTGTCTTTCTTAATTATGTTATATATTATCATAGTATCATAACTGCATAAATCTGAACGAAGTTTGCCATTAGTAAATTTTTGTCTTATTTATCATTTTACACAAATAAAAATTACATAAATAATTTCTTCAATAATTTAAGACTGCAGAGTTAAGAGTTGATATAAAAAACTACTTAAAATCAAAAACCAATTTAGAAAAAGTGAAGTTCAATTTAAATAAAATTTATTTTCCCTTAAACTAAATTTTCAGATTTCATCTATTTTATTTTATCCGCGACAACCGTGCCACAGTCAAATTAGCTTTAAATATATTCTTTTAATATGTTCTATTAAACAAAGCAGTTTCCGTGTACAGAAAGGACAGCAAGAAAAAAGTGGAAAAATGGTGAAGATTCTTTATCTTCACATATTCTGTAAGCTGTGGGTGACGACATTTGGAGTAGAAGTACCGTAAGAGTTTAGCTCTAGACACAAGAAGATTTTTATCTCCACAGTATATAAAAAATATCTTGCAGTTGATGAACGTGTTGATAAAACTTTTAACTCCAAACCTATCGTGTATTAAAACTATTAAATATATGTATAATAAATAACCTTTTACAAATGTTTTATTTTGTTAAATTATCATTAAAAAAAAATATTCTTGTATTTTTTAACGATCGGTCGCATAGCAGCTAATTAAGTCACAATTAAGCTTAAAATAATCGTACAAATTTTAGTTTCAATTTGATACGAGGGTCACTTTTTATATTTTGAGCTTTGACATTTATTCTTGTCAGGTGTCATCTGACGTTTCCATACGCAAGATTGATATTATTAAACCTAACGTATATTCCCAAATTGGGTAATAAACCCATGGACCAGCCAAAGTCCTACAGACCAATTAGTCTTACTTCCTTCTTACTGAAAACTGTTGAAAGGCTAATTGATCTGCACATACGGGAAAAAAAGGGACAAACGGTTCCTCTCCACCCCACACAATATGCCTACTCAAAAGGCAAATCTACGGAGGTCGCGCTGTATCACTTGGTCAGCAAAATTCAAAGCACCTTTCAATATAAAGAAATTGCCTTATGTGCATTTCTGGATGTAGAAGGTGCTTTTGACAATACTTCTTATGAGTCCATATCCAGTGCATTGGCCCGGAAAGATATAGACTCCTGTACAATAACGTGGATAGATAGGATGTTACGTGACAGGAACATATCTACCAAGTTAGGTTATACCACCGTTAGCATTAGTGCCGTACGGGGATGCCCCCAGGGTGGGGTTCTCTCACCATTGTTATGGACGTTGGTAGTAGACGATCTACTAGTCAAACTGGAACAATCTGGCTACCATGCCATAGGTTATGCAGATGACTTGGCAATCATAGTTTGCGGTAAATATGAGGCCACAGTTACTGACGTAATGCAGGCGGCCTTACACAAAGTTTTGAGCTGGTGTATAAAAGAAGGCCTAAGCATTAACCCAAAAAAAGCAGTAATTGTACCATTTTCCAGAAGGTACAAACTGAATTTAGGGTCCCTATCTATAAAAGATACGGCTATTGAATGTTCCGACGAAGTTAAATATCTAGGAATCACACTAGATAAGCGTCTTAACTGGAACACTCACCTGGATAATGTAATTGGCAAAGCCACAAGGGTAATGTGGACATGCAGGAACACATATGGTGGGACCTGGGGCCTTAGTCCCAGAATTCTCTCATGGATCTACCGTACAATGGTAGATCCATGAGAGACCCATAGTATCCTATGCAGCTCTGTTTGGTGGAATAAGGCACAACAAAAAGCTGCAATACTCAAATGCAATAAACTGCAAAGACTCGCATGTATCGCTATGACGGGAACTATCAGAACATGTCCCACATCAGCAGTGGAGTCCATAGTGGGTTTTACCCCTCTGCACCTCTTCATTAAAAAGACGGCAGCCCTGAGTGAAGCTAGGCTACACTCTGGTATCAATATGCACGGAAGTCTTGACAGTTAAAACTCTATCTGCAGACTGGTTCCTGGCATAGAGATCTGCGATAGGACAGATCGCATGAACATGGAACTTCGCTTCGGTAGAAAGTTCGAAGTCCTCATTCCCGATCGATTGGATTGGGTAAATGGCACCCCTGGAGCAGAACCAGAAGTGATATCATGGTTTACCGATGGTTCAAAAATCACGGAAGGTGTTGGTGCTGGAATATTTGGTCCTAACACTAGAATCTCGCTAGCGCTGGGTATATGGCCCACTGTCTTCCAAGCAGAGGTTCACGCCATCGAGGTCTGCGCTCGTATCAACTTAAACAACGGGTTGAAAGGCGCCCGCATCTGCATTTACTCAGATAGTCAGGCAGCAATCAAAGCTCTATCCACCTGGAGGTTTTTCTCAAAACTTTCATTAGACTGCTTTGATATGTTGCAACAGCTGGCAAGCAGAAATAGGGTGACGCTTTGCTGGGTGCCTGGTCACACAGGTATAAAAGGAAATGAATCTGCCGACAGCCTTGCAAGGGCAGGTTCTGCAACTAAAATCTGTGGACCAGAACCCTATTGTGGATTAAGTTGGTCTACAACTAGTTATCTAATTGATAAATGGATCTCAGCCGAGAGAGGTCGCTACTGGAGTGACAATCGAGGTAACCGTCAGGCAAAACAGCTGGTTCATCCATATAGTTATGGCAAGGCATCCCTCCTTAGCAGATCAGATTTGAGGTTGCTGGTGGGATATTTAACGGGTCACCATGGACTGCGTTATCACCTTAACAAAATAGGTCTGTCCGAAGAGATGGAGTGTCGACTTTGCTTAGAAGCAGACGAGACTACGAGCCACATTCTCTGTGACTGCCCAGCCTTGATCTGGGCAAGGAGGAAATCACTGGGAGGAGAGCTGCTCTCTCCTTCTGACATTAGGAGGTCCTCAACGGACGACATTCTGGCCTTCATTCGGAAAGCGGAATGTCTTCTGTTCAATTAGGGTCAGTTACGGCACAAAAGATCAATCTGGTCGCAGTGCTCTGCTCCGGTGGGAGCTAGTACCCTGTTTATTTCTATTCTATTCTAAACCTAACGTACCTTAGACTTTTTGTCAAAATAGCATTATTTGTGTTATTTACAAGTAATTTATAAATTGAGTGTTTGCGAAAAAAATGGAATGGAAAGTGCATTAAGCAACAAAGAACAGGTCCATATGAAAAGCTATATTGATTGTGACCTTTCTGTAACCGAAATATCAAAAAAAAAAAAAGTTGAAAGAAGCGGAAAAATTATACACAATTTTATTCAAAATAACCCAAATTATGGAAAATATATGAAACGTCACAAAGTAGCAATCTTAGCGATACAGATAAGTTGACGATTTTGCAGCAAATTTCAAATTCGCATGATTTGGTTAAGAAAATTAGGTCAAAAACCGGTAGTATCACGTTGTTTTCCCAGACGAAAAAATATTTAATTTGGAAGAACCAGATGTTTACAACTATTATTTCCAACATTTAAGGAAAGCGTCTCAGCAGTTGAATTGTTAACGCTGTCGATGGGGCGGAGTTATTGTTTGGGGAGCCATATCTTACTAGGGAACTTGCTAACTCCAATTCTTAAACGCAAATATAAACGCAAAATCATACAAAGGAGTCTTAGAAACAGCTTTCCCCTCCATTTGAAGGATTTTTCAACACAAGAGCGCCCTAATTGAGTCTAGAAATGTTGCACTTTTGATTTTGATGCTATAAATTTGGAAAAAAATTTTAACTAAAGCTGAAGTAATTGAAGTCATTTAGCGAGCGTGAACTACAATTTTGCTTAACTACATAAAATGTTTGTATGATTCAATTTCTAATAGGTCATATTGAATAAGTTAGGCTCAACCCTGTGCTTAAATAATTTATGATCACAAATCAATACTTAATCCTATATAAGTTAACTTTTCTTAGGGAATAAAATTATTAAATATATATATGTAGGATCTCATTAGTAAATAGCGAAACTCTTTTTACTACTAAATCAGAAAAACACAAAGCAACCCTCATGTGTGTTCGTTAGCGTCGAACGCATTGAATGAGTTAGTCGTTGGAAAAGAAGATAAAGAATAAGACGTGCAGTCGCGTACTATAAGTTATGTTAATTTTCTAATAAATAAAAGCAATTTACAATTAATTACAAATAAAAATATTAATAAATATAAACTAATTTAATTTAATATTAAATACTATTATAAATTATAAATGAATTTAATATTTAAATAAAATGAAACTACAAATCTTGGGGGCTCAACCGGGATCGCATATAATATAAGACTAAAGTTGTTGAAATAAATGAATAAATAATATTTGAAGTGATTTAATGCTACAAAAGAATAATTATATTCAATTAAATATTTTCCGTTGTTCATTACTTGTAATTTTCGGAAAGAACATATTAAATATTTGACAAAAGTGAATAAACTTCAAAAAAAAAAGAACAAAAAGTATTTCACAACATTTGTTAAAGACAAATGCAAGAAGCTGATAAAAAAGTTGCTCGACGCCGATGACAAGCAGCAGAACAAAGAGAAATCAAATAATGCAGGCACATAAAGAAGTTGCTCGACGCCGACGACAAGCAGTAGAACAAAGAAAAACCAAAGAATGAAGGCACATAAAGAAGTTGCTCGACGCCGACAACAAACAGCAGAACAAAAAGAAATCAAAGAATGAAGACACAAAAGAAGCAGAAGCTGATCTAAACAAAAATTTTTGATTGTATTAAATCAATAACAGAAGTTACTAAAATTGTGCATAGTAATAACTTTGAAAGTGAAGGGTTCACATATGGAATTTGTAATACTAATTTTTTTATTATATAATTTATTTTTATATTTTACTAATTATACTTATAGTTTAATATAATATTTATAATATTTAAGTCGATTTTTATAGGAAACATAAAAATTGATAATCAATGAAAGATACAGAAATTTTGATGTTAAGTGTAGAAGCACTGAAG